CAACTGGTGGTTACGGTAGTCATCACTTCTCACTTACAATCTTGGATGACAGTAGAACCGAATCGAAGTGGCTTGATAACTAGCTGTGCAGGGTTTCCATCAAGGCATCGCTAGTACACCGGCACTTCGTACCGACACTTTCGTTGCCACTAGACCACAAACAGTCGCGATCAAGTTGTAGGCACTGCGACAACGCCCACAATTAAGCGGGCGAGTGTTGGATTACAAAACAAATGCCTAGATCACTCAGTCGTCAGTACTCCGCTAAACTCTCCCACACCTGCAAATGACCTGCTTCACAATACGATTGCAACTCACCAGACATGCCATGGAACAAGCATAAAACCACAAAAAGGCATCCTAACTTTTGACCAGTAATGCAATTAAGTTACTTTCGATGTCCTGAGCCATCTCATCGGTTCGCCCAGACACAGTCGAATTGCTTAGCGGAATGGCCTGAACTGTTTCTTGTGGATTCATACTTATCAGGTCAGACAGTGTTATTAATACTGAAGGCAAGATAATATTTTCTCCAACATAATGCGGACTGTAAATTTTGCCAATCAACTTGCTACTTTTATAAGACGCGGTAGGCGTTTGCTATTTTTCTGCCCTGTTAGAGACCATTGTCTTTAAAGTTGGTCTGCTTTCGAAACTGTCCCGCAGGTTTGTGCAAAAATCCACAAACTTTCCGCTTCCGTCCTTATGAACACCTTGCAAATGATTTTTTCAGTTTACGTGGTCGCATATTTCATTTGAAAGTGTGCTCTGGCAAATTAAACAAATAGGTAGAGTGGGGTTTGGAGGTGATACTATCAATCCAAATGACAAGTATTCCACATAGAACTGCCGATACTTCTGAAACATGCCATTGTCAGATAATAATAATAATAATACTAATAATAATATTTCTATGATTTATTTTTACTACATAGTTGCCTCATGGGTATCGAATATCATCATCCGACATGACGAAACACGCAGATAGTATGAATGGTTGGTGGTGGTAAATTTATTCTTGCATGACAGTACAATTATAAGACATTTGGCAAACATACTTGTAACATCTGTTGGTGGCCACAATGTAAACATGCAAAAGTGTAGAAACACTGTTAGAGGCAACCCAAAGGTCGTTTCTGAGAATGACATTGAAAATGCCGTGAGTAGCAAGAATGACTGAGGAGAATTTCTTGACAAAAACCAAAGAAAACAAATGGAACTCAGAAAATGACAATACTCGGTGGACACATACATTACAGAGAAGTTTTAGCAAACAGTGGTAACCGGTAAAATGAAGGACAGAAGAGACAAACACGAAAGAAAATGCTAGATAGTTCAAGAAACCGCCATGGAGAGATAACAACGAAACTAATAACCTACATCGGTTATTGCCAAACATGACGCCCAACGCGTAAGACATTTGATTATCATGAATATTAGAGAAGTATCCTTATGCACACATTATGTTAAGTACTCACCAAAGGAATCGGACGTCCACACATATGATGCGAGTTGACAAACCTGCTCGCTAATTTGAACACTTCAACCGAACTGAATGTTAAGAAAGCGTTATCGCGCGTCCTACCTGTTTCGACTCAGTCGCAACGAACGAACGTTCTTTAGGGATAGTACCCTACGCGCTCAGAGTAGCCACTCGAATTCGAAATGTTGCGAGCTAACGTGACCTAAGAGCCAAACGCACATGTGAGCTGAGACTGGAGACGAAAATCGCGTAACCTAGCGCTACCGCAGTCAGACCCGAAGGAGGAAGACTGAATGGCACATCAATTGTCAACAATGGTAGTGTCTTGAGCAAAACTGTTTGTATCACTGTGGCTTTATGCGGTAACTTCTGCAGTGTTCTGACGAGAATTCGCTAGGTTCGCTGCAGCTTGTACAGTAGATGCATCAGTGTTCTGAGTAGAGCTCAGTTCGTTCACTGTGGATAGGTATCAAAGTCCTGAGAACGAATCGGATCTGCACCATAGCTGAGGTGTTTTCCACATGCAGCTAGCATGCGTACTGATGATGATGAAGCGAATTTTAGTTGCGCAGTCTGTCGACGTATGGTGATTGTATGTTTGAGATGAGCCCGGCGAAATCTGTGAAAGTGTGGCGGAGCTAAGCCAGCTCGTCAAAAGAAAGTCTGCCCGGTCTCGATTTCACATCTCCTTAAACAGCCACTTGCGCGCGTGTAATCTATTTCACTGACCCGTGGTTACCAGGGGAGATTAGTGCACGGAAAAAAACTAACAGATAATCTTTTACTTGAATTTTTCTACTTGTGTTATCATAACCCACTTTTCACAGCATGGCCCCTCTAAAATGTTGCTCATCCCAGCCCCCTGGGAATTCCCTACGGATCCCAAGGGGTCCATATGGCTCCGGTTGTGAATGGCTGGGAAGTCGCTTCGGGGCCGAAGCACGCCGGATAATGCTGATCGGTTACTGCGGCTGTTGGCCGACTACGATCGTTCTATTAGCAGCACGGCTTACTAGCACAAGCGTTCACACTGCACCACGTAGCGATCACGGAGCTCCTCGTTATCCTAGACCCAAATTGAGCATATTTCCATCAGCTTTAGATGGTGCACATCAGTCCAAGATTGTCGTTCAGTTTGGAGTAACTGCCTGGATTTCAGCCATACCCTAGCGTGGGCACGCCAGCCGCTCATACTTCGCGCTTCAAAGAAGCGGGGATCTTCTAACCTTATATGGAACTCGCAGTCTGCAATACAACAATATCACGACGACCTAGCAAACCAGTTGCCAATGATGAATGAGGCTGATGAGCCGAACACTGACTGGGATCGTCCCAAGTGTGCCATGAAGTACGCTCCTGATGCTTGTTGTGAACCCAATTTAAGACATCCTGTGGATCTTTGAGAAAACGACCAGTAAGGAAACATGCCCCCAATGGAAGTGTGTTTCAGCGTGTCCGTAACGCCCTGCCCCGATGTCGTCTTCGAATCGACCGGAAACGTTGGTGGGTGGCAATGGTCCGTGAGGTGGGGGAAATCGGTGCTTTTGGGAACAGCCGAGTGCCACATCAGCCAATGCGGAACATGAGTCCGAGAAAGCCATTTGTTAGTGATATAATAGCTGAGAAAGATGGACAGTTGATCTGATGTCGGCATCATCGACTAACTTATTGGGCGTAACATTTTGTAAAGCAGTTCAGCAGGCTTGCTGTGAAACTGCCACTTGTTGCAGCATCTGAGCCCACGTGGGAAGTCGATGTCATATCTCCCACTTTGGAAGAGATTGGACGTGAGCCTTCAGTATGGACCCGATGAGCTTCCTCCATCTGGACTTAGATGACTGGACTTACTTCTCTACTTAACATGACTTGGGAAACTGAAAAGGTGTCATCAGACTGACGATTATCAACTGTCATGCCCAGATTTGTGTGAAAATCATCAGGGCATTAGCATTATTTCTACTGCTTTTAAACTTCCCATGAGTATCATTATTCGATGACTTAGTGGTCCACTTGATAACCAATTCTAGTGGCTGTTCGCGTCACTTACCTTGGTGGCTGTCCACTATGGTGGTCACATCACTGAGGATGTGACTTCGAGTACCAAGAAAACCCGTGTGGCTTTAAAGAGATTCAACCATTTATAAAGACGTTGGGATATTAGGCTGTCAGTGAAAGGCAGGGGATATAACACTGCGATAAGGGGTGTTACTGCGTGGATCAAAGATCTGGTCAGTTCGCGGCGAAGACATTAAACGCCTGGCAGTGTCTGACCACCGGTGCTTGCGGAGTAATGCTCAAGTCTGTTGCGAATACCAAGTGAGTAATGCTGAGGTCCGCCAGTTGGTTTTCAGCAAGAAACCTTCTGGTGCCTTGTTTATCGAATCTTAATTGCATACGCCGCCTAGGTCATGTCCTCTGTTTGCCCGTTAATCGGCTTTCTCGGCGTGCATTAAACGCCGTGGCTGTACGAAGTCGGGCGAAACCGCGAAGTGGCCAGTTTAGGACGTGGCACAGAGACATGAAGAAACTGACTGAGAAAGTTAGGCTGGTGCATGCCGTCTTGATGGATGGGGGCCTGGGGATGGTCCACACCAGTGGTTGGAAAACCTATAAGATATGGCGCACTCACGCAGTCAGTGGTGTTCTTGCATTCGGTTGGTCAGATCACATGGTTAGGCGGTCTCGCACCACCGGGGACTATAGCATTTATTTATTTATCCAACTTCATTTTCTTGCGGTTGTTCTTTTATTTTTATCCTGGCGAGGTGAGTCGTGGCAACCGAATCTATCGCACTTTGGCGCCCGGAGCATAATTGTTAAGCTATACTAAATGTGTCGACAATAAGCGCGTTTGGCGTCGCATATTTGGTGCACGAAGAGCGACTGAATAGCACCGAGGTCCGATAACTAGGCCATGTGTTGCGCATATCAACACACCGACTGCCGCGATGTGCGTTATTTGCGCGACCGTGGTCGGAACAGAAGAGCAAGGGACGCCAAGAGATGACTTGGTCAAGATAAATGAAGGTCCTTAATCCGAACTTGGTGTCGGTTGCTATCTCCGGACGATGAATTCGTTTGATAGTAGACAACAGTTGACATGGCGAAGGGTCGACCTCAATGGTGCAGTGAGTTTATGGTCCGTACTTTTTCCACTTGTCATCCTCCTCCAACCATAATCGCAAACCGGAGGTATAACGCAATTCTAAGCATTGTGTTACTTTTTTATTTCATATTCTATACGGTTTTCTTTTTCGCTTTTCCACACATACGACTGTGTATTGCAGTACGACAGCTAAGGTGTCTCACCTTCAGCCAACGTGTAATGATGATGCATACTTCACAAGCAATAAGAAGTCGCGTAACCAAGAGACAATGCGACGACTGCTTCGGACTGCCGAGGCAGATGATTGGTGAAAATGATGGAATGTGGTTTACGAGCTGCTCGCACTTTGACCACGAAACTCAATAAAAATCAATGGAGCAAAAAACTGTGAAGTTGACGGAAGAAACTAACCGGTTGCCAATGACGTGATCTCCATCGGAAATCCGTAAAGAGGCGTCATCAGCTTCCGTCAACAAACGCAAACTGTGCAGGTACTTTTCCTCCTCCTCGGCGGGCCATTCAGTCGAGGGATCAGCGGCATGAGGTACCCGTGGTTCTGGTGAACAGTCGGTCAACATGCAGGTTGTAAATGACCTGGAGAGCAAACCTCTGAGTTCAATGTCAGCATGATTGGAATCAGGTATGAGGTTCGACTGAGGTTTATTGTCGAAGGTTGCAACCAGCTGGCCATCTGGGGTTGAAATTAATCGGAGGTTATGAGGTGTGTTCGAATTGGTCATGCCGTTAGATGGATCAAATACAGAACCACACAAATCAGACCTGTCCACGTCTTCGGAGCGTAGCAATTGGTCTGCAGCGCTTTGTGTTAAGTGCCGAGCACCAAATACGTATGGATCTAACGAGTCTGGCAGAGAGCTGGACGCATACGTACCGCCATCGGACTGGGCGGAAACAATGGCTGTCATGTTAGCGAAGTTCCACGGATTGCGCTTGATGGCATCCAAAAGCGCCGATCGCTCTCGAGGCTCCACAGTCCAAAAGGCACCACGGCCAGGACCCTGAAGAAGGATAAAATGCGATCAAAGTGTGATTACAATCAACGCGAGCCAACATTGTGGACTCCACTGAAAAGCAAACATCGAAAGAAGACAACGGAACGATGATCGAGTGAACATGTATAGGTGCACTGTCGCGAGACAACGAACTGTGCGAGTATCGAATTGAGGTAAGTCCTCGATGAGGAGAGAAAAAGCAGTGGGGTGCAAAAGCAAGTGATGACAAGCAAATGCTGTGTTTCCTAGAGAACAGTGATTTTCACCTCGTCGTCTTCCAGCTCTTGGATTGCACGATCCTTGCAGTTAAGACAACTGACACTATGGTGCCTGGTAGTGAAACCCTCTTCGAGCTGACCGATAAAGAGAAAAGAAGTAGGACAAAGCTAAACAATAGTGACAACCGTGTGACCACTCCAAAATGTATTAAGGAAGCTCATAAACTAATATGTCGGTTGGGTAAACAACTCACTCGACTGTCTCGTGGAAGCCGCTTAAAGGATTTGTTGATAGACAGATTGTGTCGCAAGGAGTTCTTCCAACCTGCACCAGCGTGTTTGTAGAACGGGAAATTCGACTCGCACCAGTTGTAAATTTGATTTACCGTCATACACTTCTGAGGAGTTGATTCGATAGCCATGAAAATGAGGTGAGTGTAACTGTAATTCGGTTTAACAAGTCCAGAAGTAGACTGACTCAAATGAGTCACATGAGGAAACGGTGGATAGGAGATGCTGCATGGAGTAGGCAAATGTTCGGCGGGGGGAGTGAAGCTAATGGATAGTGGAGTAATAGAAAAGTGAGAAGTGACAGGTGGTTGAGAATGGTGGGTAAGTCCAGTGGATACTTGGTGACGATCGGGGAACTGAAAGGAGAAAGCTTCGCTTTTCTGTGCTGAGGTGGTCGGTGCACAAACTTCACTGTGAAAATCTTCCTCTCCGTCTAGTGGGGCGATTTGAATGATGTCGCCTTTTTGAAGCCAGGCCAAAGAGACCAGATCTCCTGGTGTAGTCACCGAATCGAGTGGTCCGTTCGTGCATGCAATAGGGGACCAAGAACCCAAAGTGGAATCGGGATGTAAGTTTTTAGTGGACGACAAGTGACCTCTGATAGTCATCATTAAGGGGGACGGTAACGGAGCAAAACTATGCGTTAGCATAGAGGATGAATATTGCACGCTGCCGGAAAAATGCGTTCTAAAAACATAATTAAATATGAAAGGTTAATCAGGTGAAATGGGGAACATCAGAGCATTGGTCTAAATAAGAGGCAATATATGACATGGACAAAAGAATAATGCAATCTAAAATTGTCTGAAAATGTTTACCTGTACTCTATTCCATTAACTTGCACACTTCGCTTAAGCCAATTGTAGTCGATTTCCATAGCAGTTTGTGTTCGAGGTATTCCGTAAAGTATACTTTCTGACCGCGCGAACTTATCTAGGATTCGTTTGTAAACAACCTATTACATATGCTCATTACCTTAAGGTTTATGTCACCGTTTCCTTATGCATTAATCGAGTTATTTTCTTGTCTATCTCTCCCAAGTGATTGGCTGTTGTTTGATATCCCCGGTGTGGCTGCGCTTGATGTGCATGTTGACAAGGTGCCTACCTGTCTATTACCCACTACCTCGTTCATACTGGCTCCAGGAGACAGTTGGTCGTTGCTGGAGGGCATGGGGTGCACGGTCCTTGTGGCCGTGTTAGGTTCGAAGAGTGGTTCCATGCACTCAGTATGGAGCGGACCACGGTCCAGCCACCGCCCTGTGTGCGCTTGATTCCACAAATATAGCGTGCTTGTGTTTGCCTGTGAAGGAGTGGGACCGGCTCCGTTGATGAAACGTGGCTCCCATCCACATGCCTCCCGGTCTTATTCCTTCGGGTTTACACTGGATATGGGGTGTGTGGTTGGAGCTGTGGGTGGTGCAGCGCAAGCCACCCATGGTCCCTCTGTAGGCGCAAGCGTCCTGTGGCTTGTCAGTGTCAGGCAAATCCGAAACCGGATGCCGCCAACCATATATTCACAACTCTGAAGACGGACAAATGTGCAGTCAGAATCATGATTGTAATGGTATGGAAAAGAGGATAGTTTAGAGAGACAAAGAAAAAGGGCTTCTTTTTCTTCTTTTTGTATCTCACACACGCCGTTTTGTGTCATTTTGTTTGTTTAAAATTGAAATGTGGATGAAAGGGAAATGTTTGGATAGCATTAACGCCTATGATTTGTTACGAGCTATAATCTATAAAACTTCCAGCCATTTGATGTCCTCATCACGGACGGATCCTAATGAAGCCAGACATGCGGTGACATTCTTGTTCCTTTTCAACGTCATCGGTTGTCCACCCCGGCATTTTCTGTACTCACGCCCAGGAATAGCAAATAATGCTGGGCGAGGAAGGCGATTGGTTGGCATGCACAAAAGGTGACCAATCCAACGTAAAGTGTTGGGGAATAATACCCTGCAGATTAGGATTGTTCGCTTCGAGTACCCGGCTTCTAACTTCGAAGTTTGGCGTTGACACCACGCATGAGAGATCGTTCGCAAGCAGCGGTTGTCGAAAGATGAGTCGTTTCAGATATTCTACACGAACAGACCAGGTCTCGCAGCCGTACAGTAGGACCGCACGGACAGCGGCACTGTACACTCTGCCTTTGAGCCCCAGATTGATGTCGCAGCGGCGCCACAAGTGCTCAATTAGTGAACACCAGGCGGGATTTAGCGATTCGCTGAGACACTTCATTTCCAACACCGCTACTCACCGTGATGCAACTCCCAAGCTAAATGAAACGATTCATCTGCTCCAGGCAATCACCTGTAATTGTGAGAGTTGGCACCGCCGCTTGCCAATTTTGGAGAAGGGTTATATACTTGGGTGCCTCGATCGCTAAGCGGTTCAAAACGTTTCGGGTGGTCTGTGAGTCGTACCCCAGCAAAGCGATATCATCAGCACAATCCATGTGCGAAATTCTGTTCCCGGGGAGGAGTTCAACACCACAGCTTTCGGCTCCTTCCACAGCGCGATGGAGATCATCGATGGCAAAGTAGAAAAGTGCGATCGGGCAACCTTGGCGTACTCCGCTGGTAACAGCAAGAGACGAAGAAAGCTTTCCATAAGCTTTAACTTTGTCCAATGTGTGGCGATAGAGTTCTTTCAGGATTGGGACGAATTTGTCAGGTACACCGATTCTTAGCAGACAGTTCCAAGGATATGTTCTATGTATGAAGTCAAAGGCGGCATGGAGTTCCAAAAACAACACTATTGTTGGAATTTGGGTGTCGCCCACCCGAAAACACTGCAAGAACATTGAGATTGCACGTCGCAATTTAATCACACGACATGTATTCCAAATGGCTCTCCATTCTACCACTATTGTTGGTCTTCGGTGGATGTGACGATGTTCGAAAATTTGACGCAGTGTGCAGATCTGGTCGATACAATCTCGATCTCTACGAAAGCCAGCTTGTTCCTCGCGAGACAAACTCTTTCGAGTAGCTGTAAGTCTGCGGCACAACAGCGATACATCAGGTCCGTACAATTCCGAAAGTCGAGATGAACCTAGGTTACTTCGATTTCTTTTCGCTACATGGTGAGGCGTCCACCTTAAGCCATGCATGATCAGGTTCGATAAAAGAGGCGAAGTAATGGATAAGATGGTAGCCAGCACAGCTGTTCTACAATCACTTGACAACATATGCTGTACCTAGTCGCACACCATTCCTCAGTCAGTGAACATTCAAAACAGTTAGATTGAACAGTTATGATTCGTGCACTGTGACGGAATCAATACACTTGAGGTGTGTAGGGAAGCTGGAGGAAAGAAGAGGCGGACGAGAGTAAGAAATTCATATAATCAACTTGAAGACGTTTCAGCGAAGAGTTCCACCGCTATGAATTACTCAGGAGCTTTACCTTGTGGTGCAGGACACTGGAAAACTGAGGAACTGATGAATGTGCGGGAATCCAGTAGAATCCGTTACCATTGAGATCAGACGAGCTATCAGAACGGAGCCTATAAGCCGACAAATAATCTGGATGAAATCGGTGGCTAGGAGAGGGAGTTTCAGCTAATGTCAATAACCCGCTACTGCAAGTGCGCGCACAAAGTAGCAGTGGTGGACACCGATACCAGTTCGTAGTGCCGGGTCTGAAACGTGTGGTTCACTCTCAATGCTTCAAGCAGGGAGTGGCGAAATAATAGAACAGTTTAACAGAAGAAATGGTCGAGGCAAAATCGGTGTCGGAATTCAAGCAATTCTTAGATGCACACTTTGTGGATTATACATTTAGGAAGAGCACCGTACCCGAAAAGGATATGGCGTAGCAATGATAAGCTATAAACGTGCAGGAAACAGTGACATGATTCCGCCCAAATGCCAGATTTAACTATGGTAGAGCAACAAAGATGTACGCCTTCGAGCTCACTATTTTCAGTAAATCCAGAAAATCATACACCAGTGAGAGCACTGATTGGCTGATTAACAGAGCAGACCGTGCATAGAAGTGATTTGGTTGTCCTGTATGTTCTGAAGCTACGCTGCTGTTGAGAATTGAGACCAAGCAGCTGGGGCTCAAACAATTGGCCAGAAAAAGAGAAACTCTGACCGTAATCCGGTGTGGCATTCGATGAGTGTGTCCCCCACGGCGACGAGTTGGATCTCGCCGCAGAGGTGTACGCGTACGCGTTTGAGTGGTCATTGCGTATAGAGTAACACTATAATCAGGGTGTGACTCTTTCAAACCAAACCACGATACACAGAGAACACCGCCTGTTCACTCGAACAAGCGAGTTCCAAAGAACGATTGTCTAGTCGACCGATCGTGATGACAACGAGGATTCTGAAAAAGCTATTGAGCATTTAAGGTAGCAAAGGCGTGCAGGCTGTAACCCAACGTACCGCCGATCACCTACAAAACATCTCATTGAGAATACTCAGCGACCATAGGTTATGCAACGAATTGAGGCCAGGAGCGCGACAAAGCTTAACTGACCTCAAATTTGATCTCGTAGACGCACTGACGGCATCTTGATACAATAGAATCCTACCTCATAACCCCAATCCACACACCTGCTCCGCCCCACAAGGGTGCCAAACGACCAAGCCAACATACTGTGCCTACGAAGCGAAGGACGACAATCCAGTGCAAGCGTCCCAGTAACGACGAGCCCAAGTGCGATCAGTCGACAGACTGATGCAGAGCATTGCCCGAGGGTCAACGGGAAGTACCTGTACATTAGAAACACAGAGAACAACTTCCAACCTCAACCAAGCAGCATGACGCAGTTACGAAAACAATGTGAGTTGTTCGCCCCGATAAATAATGTACTACTATACAACGTTAGCTAATAAATAGTCTTATACAAGTTAACTATATATAATTAATATCACCATAATCACAGCGCGCTGCATTGTGATTGATTCGCCTCAGAGTAAGCGAGTAGAGTGGGCATGCTACCGTTGATATGCACTCACAACGTGGACAGCCCAATACCCCTATGCCTCACCGGTCCGACTTTCGGGTGTAACACTAAAACTAGGATCATACTGCTCTGCAAGTGATTTGTGGGAGTTTAGGTGAGCTATAGTGCAGTCGCCTGCGAGTGCTAATGGCGGTACGCAATAGGTGTGATACAGCACTGCCCGTCGCCTCTAATTCGTGTCCCTCAGTAGAAACCCCTGGCGTGAGGAGGCTATCCTGAGGCAGGACCACAGGTGATCAAGGCAAATCCGAACGAGTACGGAAAGCCGCGCGTACCCTAACAAGACCATTAAATAAATGCCTATTGGTTTATCACTGTGAGCGATCGGCGAAGTGAGATAGCTCTAGATTCCAGATACAAGATGGTCAACCACAATGCCGTGATCGTGTCCCCACTGGCAGAACTACCATCGCCCCAACGGTAATCTTACACTGTCTGGCGCCTCGACATGAGCACAGGGATGATGTGCGCCGCCCATAACGCGTGGGAGCAGGGTCTAAGCTCCCTAACTCCCACTCTGAGCAAGAACTCCAGGAACGATCTCAAACCGAACCGGCCACATCGAGTTACCCGACTGAAACTGAGCCAGCTGAAATATGCATTGTATTACATACCGTTTGAGCATTTCAGGGGTGTTCATGTAATCTATCGAACGAATTGGTTGTACAGGATCATGCAATCGAGCCATCTCTGTCAGGCGGTGAGGGCGCTTGCCCTGAGCCAGTAACCTACAGTCCTATTAGGTCTCAAGTGTGAGAGCAAAGAGGTCGAATGGGCAGCCACTCCTGTCCGCGCGTAAACCTAGCCATGGATGGAGGCGCACAAACAGTATACTACGGGTAAATCGGACCAATGCACCAGAGCAAGCTTCGAATATACTGGACGTAGACGAGCAGTCAAAAAGTTCGACTACCGCATTTGTACCTAACATTCTGACGGCGTGCGCGCGGTAAGAGCGCGCACCTCCCAGAGTGATTCTCAGACGTGGTTTGGACTACGAACTAGTCTCGGCGACACTCAGAACTGCTCCTATGCCAGGCTAGCCAATGATACACTATATTGCTGGTCTCTCAATAAGCCTGCCTAAACACCCACCTAGCGACGGAAAAAGCGAGAATACTTGCGCAGAGTCAAGCAAGGAGCAATTTCCAACTCAACTCGCCGACGCACCACAAAGAGGAATGTTGTGACGGCGCATAGCAGGAGATCCACAAATCTGTCTTCTTGCCAGTATCACATGTTTCACCACAGGCCAGACCTAGGACTCTGCGAACTTGCCAGATTTCTCCTAGACCCATCAGCGCTTATGTGGGTAAAGAACTACTCGAGCTAAAGGAGCTCTCAGGGCGGAGTCCCCCTCACATGCAATCATTCCTCCGTCCAAACAACAATACCACATCGGTGACCTTGTGGTTCCACCGGGTTCAAGCACTTATTGCGAGTACGACTACAGAAGGCTACAGAGGGCTGCGAAGTACTCTTCTCAAGAAAACCACCAAACAGAGCGCACCACTGAGCATCAATATTTTCGACGTGGAGTCACAGGACTATTTAAGTAGGCACATACTCGTAGCGCTCCTGGAGTGGAGCGTTCCTCACAGCAAAAAATACATTACCGCATAAGCTACACACCGTACCACACACTCGAGTCGTCGTATTTGCCTCACCAATGCACACAACTGGTAAGGTCCTGTCACTTAATCTTGCAAATCATAATTTTAGCTCATTCCGGCCATTCCAGGCTGCGTGGAGTAAGCTTACGTGCGCACCAAAACAGAGAAGATAGCCATAAAACTTACAATATCTAAATTACTACCAAGAAGGACCGGAACTCCAGGGAGTGCCCGGACCGACGCACTGCACACGTTACGATGGAACTGGCGCGCTACCACATTGATATTGCATCATCGTCATCACCATTATACACGTTAGCTAGAGGTGGGAAACACCTCAGCTACTGTGCCGCAATACATAGAAGAAAAAACGAGAAAAGAAATGCAGCTGGTGCAAGCCGGCTGAGCTACCGGTAACGGATGGATAACGGATAAGCTACCAGCCGGCTACTGTGCACCAAAAAATACTATGGCTAAGGCTAAATAGTGAGATGGTGATTGGAGGGGGAGGTTAAGAGAGATGGGGTGGGACAAAGAAACTAACAGTACGAACGCCACTGAGGTCGGCTCCTAGCCATTTCAGCAAGTGTATCCAGCCAAACGCGTTCATCGTCTTTCGGACCCCAACCAGGTAGCCGAGACGCTCCAACCGACGCAAACGCAGAAGTGAAAGCCATCATTCCTGTTGACCAAGTCATCGCTTGGCCACACCACCTCTTCTTCCATCCATACCCCCGGCGCGCAAACAACGCACGTCGCGAGAGTCGGTGGCCGGCATGCGTAACACTTGGCCGAGCCATCGGTGCTGAGTGGTTTATTTCCTTTTCCTGTGCCGTTAAAGAGGCGTCGAACACGCTCTTTGCTCACGCGGTGTTCCCACCAGTCAGCTAAATTGCGAAGGCACCGGTGGTCGAATGTAACTAGTCTCTTCAGGTCCGCTGCTTTAAGGGGCCAGGTTTCACAACCGTACAGCAGGTTCAAACGTACCGCTGCATTGTACTCTACCCTTCAGGGCAAGTGATGTCGTGCCGGCGCTATAAGTGGCGAAGGTTAGCAAAAGCGTCTCGAGCTTTTGCTATACGGTTCGTGATCTCATCTCCAATGCCATGGGCGCTGATACAACTTCCCAGGTAGTTGGATTTTTGAACGACTCCTAGCTGATCCCCACCAAGGTTCACGAAGAAGGCGGTCCAGACCAATCTTGGAGGAACGCTTTGCACTTTGAGGGTGCGAAGCAAAGCCCGAAGTGAAGGACAGCTAATCAGTCCAGTGCCGCTTGGCATGTTTGTGACCTGTCACAGATTAGGGCAATATCATCAGAACTCGTTCTCTTGGGAGCAGATCCACACCTAACTCGTGTCCTGAAAACGCGATTTCCATAGCTTCATCAATAGCGAATCCGAAGAGGAATGGTGACAGCAGGCATCCTCATATTGCGCCGCTCAGTGAGACCCGGCTCGCTAAGCAAGGTAAGTTGCATGAAGCAGGTGCTGGCTACACATTCTACTGGGTGGGCAACGCCGCCTCAGCACCACGTGAGCATGGGGTCGGATTTGCAAGATCCGATCGCCTCCATTGCCAGCTGGTGGGTAAACCAACAAGTATCAGCGCGCGACTGATGCGTTCAGGGAGGCCCAGGCTAGGCTCGACTCGGTTGATCAATCCGTTTTATCTCGTTATCCGTAAAAGAATGTAGTACGTGAAAAGTAGATGGACATTCTTCGAGACAAATTTGAATTTCTCTGGAAGATTAAGGGACTACGATGTGCTGTCAAGCAGATGCGTCATGGAAACGCGCGATTTGTTTTAGTGAGTGCACTTTTCCAGAGTTGTCGTTTGTGTGACCTATTTAGACAAACCGACAGCAAGTAGCAAATATGGAAAATTGAACTCAGAGAAATGAGTAGAAGACATATCGGCCCAGTAAGAGGAAAAGGATCATAATGAAGAGTACGGCATATGATGCTCAGTGCGTTTAGGACTACGCTTATGAAGGTTTTGGTGATAGATATAGACAAGTAATTGTCTGGTGTTAAATAAAAATGAGTATTTCGCTCAATTTGTGATCTGGAAAATAAAAAGGAGCTCACAAAATGTCCGGATATAACTAGATCCTGCAGCTCCCTGGAGATTGCCGGTTCCATCTCTAACTAAAATCACTTTCATTTCACACCTGGGCGACCGGTGCGTATTACTGAACTGGTTGCTGAGTTCGATTGCTTGAATCTAGCAACGCTTTTGCTTGGCGCACGTTTCGATTGCAACCCACGACCTTTCTGTTGCGCTTTCAACGTTTTTCCTAGTTAGCAGCATCAACGGCGTCTTTTTACAGCTAGAGCACCAGAGAAGCACTTGCTGTACAAATAAATTCCCCTGCAATCCAAATTACAATTTGAAATGGCTACAGATGCTCCCGCTAACACGCCAGTTCACCACTTCTTCACCACTACTTAAGGGTTTACATAAAACTACTGTGGCAAACTGTGGTTGCATAAGTGTGAGATGCTTGGCTTGTGTGTGTCTGGCAGTAACTGAACAAACTAGGTTATTAAAATGATAGTTCAGGGTTTAACTGACCACGTTAAATACAAACAACGTTACCAGCACAGGGGCAGCATGATCATAAAAGACAGTCAAAGGAGTGGGAGTCGACATCAGGAGGGCAGCAAATGCTAGGTTGGAAGTTAGGCTCACATTCTTAGCTGTGGCCTCGACTATCAAAATGCTGATTTTTATTAGCTGGAAACATGACGTCGCTCATAATATTCTTCGGAGAAAAATGAAACTAGCTGTTCAACAGACGATAATCCGCACGGTCTAACTGAGTGCGCCTAGATAGATGCAGCTCCAAGCGGCACGAGTTTCCGTGGGACGCACTTTGAGCTTTCCACGGGCATCCGTTTAGAGTCCCATTGGAGTTCCGACTAGACATTTTTTGGACGCAAATAGGACACTCAGAAAAAATGCGCAGGAATACGGTTCCTGAAATGCAGACAACCTAGTGCGCGCTCAAGCAATTATGTAGTCCATTTTGCAGACGTGCAAATACTCAATTCGCGTTACTATGCGCTTACATAACGAGTAAGAAACAACGATGTGTGGAATGCAAGTAGTTATGTGCCTGAAACATGCGCTAAAAACGCAATGTTTGTAATTAAAGTAGAAAAGATTCACCATAACGTGTAAAAGATTTGGCCCTCTTATTCTTTGTTGGAGATAACTTATTAAGAAATACCTGACGTCCTATGAGTATCGCCCTAGACTCCTGAGAGTCAAAGTACAGAAAAGATAATCTAGTTGACGCTCAACCCCGCCCCCCCTAAAGGTAGCTTCCTTGACAACATTTTCCGGAAGCGAATTCCAGCGCTCGATGACTCGACGCGATAACTGTGTCTTTGCTCTAACTCGATCGGATCGCGGTTTGTCTAGCTCGTGATGCCAACAGGGGCAACGATTGTTGCTTAACTCGCGTATGTAAGAGCAAACCACAAGACAATTAACTATACAAGATGCTGAACCTGAATGACACGATGTATAACGAAAAATTGGCACGAAACACGCAAAAGAAATTGAGTTCATTAGTAAGACAGACTACGATCTACGTAAGTAAAATTAGCTCTGTGCTTTAAAAACTATGCAGGCGAGTAATAAGCGCTATTTCAACAGGAAGAAAGGACCCAGAAGCTTTAAACATCCTTGAATGCAAATAAGAAACTAAGAACATACGCGCCATTAACAACGGCTTCCTTTGCTACAAGGAGGCTTCCGGTGAACGACACGTTAAAAGCGGTCGCTGCAAATAATAAACAATTGAGTAGAATATGTCAAAGGTCAATTAATACATATAACTAGTTTACTTTGAGCATAAAATTCAGTATTAGAGCTCAAATGTATAGTGTCGATAAGATAAACAAGTGAGAGTTCTTCCGTTGGCGGGACTTTGAACAGGTCAGGTACCGTTCAACGGACGATAAAGACTTTCGCCTTTCTTTTGCCGGTAAGTAAAGCGTCCCCCGACTATTCGACATCGGATTGACTCTTCTTGCTTCTGCAAAGGAATGAAACAAGAACAAGTGCGATCTTTGAACTTCATCTGTCAGCATTAAAATACACTATCTATTCCAGTAAAATTACACTATTACTTGGAAAAGGGCAGACCACCACTCACCTAAGCCTCTTTTGAAAGCTTCTACAGACTCATCCCAACAAATCATAAGGAAGTTTATTCCAGATTTGAACCGCCCGGTTCGTAAAACATTTTCCGCAGATGTCTAAATCAGCTCTAGATTGGTTAAGCATCAGACGATGCCTGCGCAGGTAGTCCGACATAGCCCATTCCAACAGATGAATGGGACTAATACCATTAAGTCTCCTAATGGCCTTAAACTTCTCTATCAAATCCACTCACAACCAACCCTGTCAGCGCCAACGTTCACACAAGCCCCCGATACAAAACACGCATCGGGTTTTCGTAAACTAGGACAGGTGAAGTCTGTTATCGGTGAGCGTTTAATGTCTGCTTAACAAAGTTTACCGCTGCCATACGGAGAAAATCAGCCCTGGATTCAACCGAGGCGCTGTCAAGTCATGACCGATCGTAGATTCGGAAGTTAACTTCAACACGTAACAGAAGGATTGCGTGGAAATCTGACAAGTGTATGACTAGTCAGGGCGCTTGAAATTAAATGTCAGCGGTCTGTCGTGCTGGTAGGAATAGGAGCAGTGGTCTATTTGTAGCGTGCTCGTCTCTTAGTCAAGGTGGCCGGGGTCCGATTCTTCAGAGGAGCGGGGTTGGACTAACCGGCATCGCCAGATTGCTTGGTTGTGCGCCAGATTTTGTGGTTATGTCTTTTCTATCCTTCCGCAGTGTTCAGGTGAGCATTATTAGGAATGTAAGCACTTTTTACACTCTTCATGAGGAACTTCACGGAATAGCATGCACCAGTTGTGGTACCGGTTTCTGGTTGAACGTTCGTTTGCTCGGTTATTCGCAGTCAGGTTGTGTCCCATTTTTCTGCCGGCCGAGGCGTTAGCCGGGTGCCTATTGGGTTCATGAATCCAGTCTTTTTGAATATGACGTGTTGATCCTCTGCAGCACCACGTGAACTCTCCGAGGGATATATATTAAAATATGTTGAATTGTTGTTGAAGTCTTGAAGGATAGAATATGGTTCCCAAGAAAGCATCGCAGATCCACTGGGTATGTAGTAAAACTGATTAGAAGTGTCAAAATCCCCGGCCATTTGAGCGGTCAATATGGATTGAAGAGCTCATGATGACCAATTTTTCTGGCTTTGTGTCGCAGGAGAATGTGCCTTCCGAAGTCAAAAGTAGTTCTCCAGGCAAGAGTAATGTGGAAGAGATAGCGTTGGGCAAACTGAACCCAAAGGTTCAAGCCACGGCAAATTTTATCCGTGCATGGTAACGAATGAGGTGTCCGGTTATTAAGTTGTAAAAGGATTGATAATCTTCCGCTCATGTCCAGATAGAGGAACTGTGTGGCTTGTATTGTTGTCGCAACGATGGACAATTCCTTGGGTGCGTGTCGCCGTACCTGTGACAAACTCGGGAAAATAGGAAACGAACAGAAACAGCCACAAAGGCAGAAGAACGGGATGCGTCTGGAATGCAGTCGATCAATTGCGGCGATGACTGAAATATTGTACCCCTGTACATGCAATTGTTATTTACCTATCGCATATGCATGTGTATCATAAGTGGCGAAATACGACGAGAAGCAACCAGAACACGGATCAGTATAAAATGAAAGCTTGTTCTAAAATAGGATAGAAGATGAAGGAAAGAGAGTTTGTGGGGTGCCTTTCTCCGGCAGTCTGAAACGTTCCGTTCTTACTTATTTCGGAATCTTAACGGTCTGTCGGCGGACTTTCGTGCTGGAAGGTTCCCCAGACGAGTGGCATTTTGATAACGTGCAATCAACGGTGGTGGTAGGGGAGGTAATGTGCCTATATTGTTCCTACAGCAAGGAACCTGGGGAAAACCGGTCTTTCGAAGGAAGAGCCGTCCAATTTTTATCGGCGAGCGCCCGAGGTTTAACCCAATTTTTTTCCCCCGAGCGCCCAACATGCACTCGATCAGTTGCCCATCGGGAGACCACTCAGCGGTCACTGTGCTGAGTGGGCTGGCCGTTCCAAGGGAAATACTCTTAAGTTATTTAGACTATCTACCTACGGCTTCCATGGTTTACCTTCGATTATCCTGGTCGCAAGTTTTCTGAATCTTTTCTATACACATGGCGTCATTACGGAGGTATGGTGCCCAGGCCTGAACACAACCTCCAGGTGTGGCCCAAACATGACCTCATATAACGGTAAGAATACTTCTGCCTTTGGGTTAATTAGTTGCCCTCCTCCTGTCGCGCCTTATTTTCAGCATGGCGACACTGCGCGGAAGGCGTAAACCTGTTCACTATGAGGACAACTAGATCACGGGCTTCATTAGTACGCTACAATGTTAGAGGTCCCGCTGGAGGCTGCACTGCAATTCTGCGGCCACGATTGCTCAATAGTTGACCATTTTGGGCGTCAGCTTTAGGTACCATTTGCTCGACCAATCCACTAAAGGATGGTGTCCATTGCCAATATCGCTCGGTTTCCCTTACTAACTGGTTTTAAGACCATCTGCAAAGATATAGCAAGTTCCTCAAAAGGAGGAGCCAGGTGGTTTATAAACGTAAGAAACAACAATGGACCCGAGTACCGAACCTCTGTAGGCAAAGGCTTCACTAGGACTCACTTCCCTAACCCTGGCTCTAAATGTCCTTCCACGTAAGAATTCAGCGAGCCACAGTAATAGTTTAGGATGCAATACAAACCATGTCAGCTTCTCAAGTAAAAAATGGATGATTTACTGACTGAAAGGCTACATTAAAGTCCAGATAGCGTACCTCTACTGACAACCCACCATCAAGCCATCGGGTAATCTCATCTACAAAGTACAATAAATTAGTACGACGGCTTCTTTTTAAATAAGTCATACTGTTCCGCTCTAACTAGATTGTGCTTAGTCAAGTGCTTACAGATCCTATTTCTTCTAAACATTTCCAAGCACTTCAGAAAAGTTGCTGGTCAAACTAACAGGTCTATACATAAATAAATAAATAATTTGGTATAGTGCTAGACTGGCTAGCTGCTGCACACAAGGGATCAGGTGAATATTAACATTAATCCTATGCTCTTGCATGGGAGTGGGAAGTGTGAGTATATGTTCCTTGTTGGCAACTAGGAGTGTATTGCTTTGTTATGTGTAAAGCTGCTGGGGTTGTACGAGCTCACTTTGAAATTCTTCTGGCTGTTTCAGGCGATATCGAAACTCCTTGAATTTGGTTGTTGTGAAAGTTGTGCAGATCCGTAGTTGGGCAGGTTTCCTTGACAACAGGACCCAATTCACCACAACTTCACTATAACGTTTTGGACCATTTGGCCCGCTCAGTTGTCACATTTGTTAGTGCGCACATGGAAAGAGATAAGAAGGGCGGAATTATAAGGAACACGAGAAGATTAAAGCTAATTCCTAGAAATGCAAATATAAAAAAACGTCTGTTAAGAGACCTACTATGGAGTCGCAGTTCGCTAGAAAAATACAACTTAACAACCAATATAACCAAAATTTCTTGCGCTAACTTTTATCTCTAGCGCCAATATGTTAATCTGAGTTAAGAGGCATCAACTTAGAACCCCTTTTAAATGGCAAAAAATGGTCGCATCCTTCTATTCACATGACAACTTGCATTCTTGAAGAGGCTGTTTGAATAACTCCGCGAACGGATACTGAAGGATATCAGGGTGGCCCGGCTATGACGGGATGTACACTGTCAAGACCAGCTGATTTATATAGCTAGAAAATGCCCAACACTGTGAAGACCTCTGGCACACTTTTAAGAATTTCCCTCCTTGTATAGCTGCTTGAACGTTGCGGCTGTGTTGGCAACACTGACCCATTAACCTTCCGTTGCAACTTTTGCTAGACAGGTAACAGCACTTGTACTTTATCGACGTCGTTCACAGCCTTGCTGCCGTCCTCCATGGTTAGACACTCGACCAACTCCCTTAGAGCAGGGGTTGATTGGACATAACTGTAACTAATTTCGCAAATTTGGACATCCTACGCTAATATGAGTACTTCGCCTGCCGCTACTACTTAATAGCCATGCTTCGAGAGCTTTTGTATTGCAACCAACGTTGGAAGCCCCGAGTTTCCTGGTATTTTCTAAACGCAGTATTGCACCACTTTATCGCTCTGTCAGTCGTTCTCCTCCACCATCGGGTTTCCCAAAATGTCTTCTATGGCGAAATGTAGCAAATTTGTTCAGCTACTGCACGAGCCCACTTTTGTGTGGAAGCCACTTCTGTTCCGAATTGACCTGGTCCTAGTGCTTGATCCGTGCTTTGAATAGCTCGATCGCGCAGCATCGTAAAATCAATGCGTGTTAAATCCCTTCTCATTTGTTGTTTTCCTGTAAGCCAAGGTGTGTTCAGAGGTGTCCAAACACGATAACCACTCTTATCTAGGGGGGCTCTACGCGTACGTCAGACAGGTGACCATGTCTGGCGATCACGATATCAATGGTAGAATGGGTACTGCCTGTACCACACTTGGTGTGAACATTGACCTACTGCTCGAACACAATTTTTGCATCCAATCCACTAATTCCTTCTCCAGAGCACCCGCCTTGTATTCAGCAAGCTTCCAATAAGTATTGGGAAGGTTTTAAGCCACCAACGATCAGGCAATTAGGTGCGTCCATTGCAGTCTGTCGTAGTAACGTACCAA